ATCATGTTATCGCCAATGGATATACCTATATCCGCAAACCCCTTCCTGTTGGACAGGTGAACCTGCAGAATATTCAAGCTCAGATTGGCGATTTCCACATCAAGCACAATTATACAAAGAAAGGAGTATCAGACCTGGAGCTGCCGGCAGAACATCAATGCCGAACAATTCAACAGAAGCGTCGTGAACAACCTGATCTTCGGCCTACCAAGTTAGATGCTCTTGAGGATAGTATCGCTTTCGAATACCAATTCAAAGCAGCCCACCGAGGTAAAGATACTGTGCTTGATCGCTTCCCTCGGCTTGCATTGGAGGGAGAAGACATGTCGCAACCTGCCATCGTCCAACAGTACAAGGACCAACAATTCCTTGATGAGAAGTATCCGTATTATGTTGGTGATCTGAAAGAGCGTCTTAGCAAGGAAGAAATTCGAAAATACACCAGAATGGAGAGAGCCGGAATTATTCGCATGAACGCTGTACGTCAACCTCGACTAAAATATGATCCATTGCCATCGACTGCGTCAATATTGAAGGACATGAGTCGGTGGAAGTTCTATTCGAAACTCGCTTCCTCGATGTGGCCTGAGATCAACGGCATTCTGCGAGAGCTTCTGCCTGGTACCTATAAACAAGTGAAAGGACCGCACGCCTTTTTGCGACATCACCTCCAGTCTCTTGCCTTCCCTGCACCCAGACTGGTACAGGCTGCCGAAGTCGCTCAGATTGCGATCACTCCTGCCGCTCAAGATGCGCCAATGAAGGAGCTCTCACAGATGGAAGAAGAGCGCTTTCAAAGAGCAGAGGCACAGTACCCTGGCCTCGGAGACATTGCTTTTCGATCAGTAACCACCGATTCTGGTGACTACTATCGCCCCGGCAATCAGACCAATCCACCGTGTGACCTAGCCTCCATCCTTGGAGATGAGAAGGATCACGAATATTTCAAGCGGGTCTGGCAACCTATTGTGCCTGGATTCACGGAGTTCCTGTTGCTTCAAAGCACTGATCTACGTAACTACTCTTTCATCAACACCAACAACCACTATTGCGGCTCTCACCGTCCTCACATGGACTTGGAGATTGACGGCAATATACCATTGCGGGACGATCCGGACGAGTGGCGCAATCAGATCCATCACTACCGGCACCACCTAGAGAGCAACCTGCGAACGCGTGTGGGTCAGCTTGGCTATTTCGGCTATACACGACCTGATGCGGCTTCAATCATCATGCGAGGTCCGAAACACGGTCAGCAGATGTTTCCTGTTAGTTCGACAGCCACAAAGAAGCGTCGACGCCTATCTGGCGGACGATCATTCAGTGAAAATCAAATTGAATATTCAGCATTCATGACAGGACACTTGCGTAGCGTATCAGAGCCGCCAGAAGCTGTTCAAATCCCCCGTCAAAAACCTCTTGCCGAGTCTGAGTCGGTAGCCATGGCAGTCTCAAAAGACTTACCCAACTTCTTCTTCGAAGACATCACAGATCACGGTTTTCGGTTAACCAATCGTACGACTGGTCAGCCATTGGTTATTGCGAAGAACTTGGACAAAGACAAGCAATTTGACATGAATGACCTTGTGAGAAGCCTTGAGAGCATCGCTGAAAAGGTTACCAAAAAAATGCTCGAGGATGAATGTGGCGAGTTGTACAAAACAGCTCAGGAGCTTTGGGACTTCAAAAACATCGGACAACTCTTCGATGCTTTGGTGAATGAGAATGGGAATGTTCGTGGCAAACCCCTCGAGAAGAATCCCGCTCCCCGCGGCCCAGCAGGTGTAATGCTGAAAGGTCCAGAAGCGGTGGCTGCACTGAGAGATCCCCCAACTTCTACACTCAAAAGCTTTTTGGACAAACGACGTAACATGACCAAGAAAGCTATTGAGGCGCTTCGGAAAGAGGATAACAGTCTGAAAGACTTGCAGAGCCAGCTTTCAAATGGCATCAGGGGCGGAAGGAAGCTCGATGACAACATCAAGCAAGCTTGCAAGGTCGCTTGGAGTGAAGGATCGAAGTCAAGCATCTTGTCTTCTGCACTCAAATCAGAGTCCGTTAGAAATCTCACACCGCAAGAACAGATGGAGCTTTCTGATGCTCTGGAACAGAAACTGAGTGAAGCCGCCGAGTTAGAGCGTCGAAAACTGTACATTCAGGAACAAGTTTTGAGGACGCAGACCAAGAAGTTAAGCCAAGTTGTCAATCTACTTGCTTCTGTACTCTGCGAGATCAAAAGTAAGCAAGACGAACATGAAAACCCGTCGATTGCACCGGTTTGGGCCGTATGCAAAACTGCAGAGCTGGCCGCGAGCCTAGGTGAACCGGCAAATGATACTCCCAATGCGTCGAATGTCGCAAACTGCGATGCGGCACTGAACGCCACTAGCGAACGAGATGCTGCCAAAAGATCTACAGCGCCACAAACAACCGAGCACATGCTAGTGGAAGTGGACAAAGTCACTTCAGATTCAGTCAATCTCGTATTGGACAATGAAGAAATTACCTCGACGCCGGAAGATGTTGAGATGGTCGAGAGTGGGTCGGTCATCGCTAGCTGCGGTAAATCGGTTGGTACCCAGACTTCTGCTAAGGTTGTGAGTGCTACGGGCCTCATGGAAGTCCCTCGCACGAAAGTGGCGGCAGCCATCAAGTTTCAAGAAGGTTTGTGGAATCAAATCGTCGCAAAGAACATCGCAAACTACAAGAATGCTGAAGCGCTCACGAACTTTGAACATGACGTCCCCGCTTTTCTCAAACACTGCGCTGATACGAATGTCACAACCCATTTACTCTCAGACCTCCAGCACTACTACTGCTCCCAGCGGACGGAGCTGAAGGAGAACAATACTTTGGTGCGCCTCGAAGAGACAAACGAGGCCTGCAAGTATTACGCCGATAGACACCGGGCTGCAGAAACTGCTTGGGGTCTTCGTGGTGGATCGCAAGCTGCACAAAGAGAGAAGGCCATGGACCCTTTCCTGGCAAAAGAAGACACTGATAATCGATACTCTCCTGAACAACTGGCACTGCTAAAAGAATACCGTCAGCCAAATAGCAAGATCCCTCCTGAAGCTGTTGGGACATCCTATGCACCAGCATTGATGTTCGCAAATACCAAAACCAAGTGGGATGGAGCAGATGATTTGCTGGGAAGCAAGTCAATCAGAGACATAGCTTCTTGGCAACAGGCAGTTGAGAAGGAGCAGCTCGCTTTGCAGGCTGACTTGGACCAAAACTTCCGTACCCACAAAGACTCCTCACTGAAGCCAGACCAGGAGCTTGTGACAGAATATGCTCAAGAACTCTTGAGCGACGATCGACGAGAAGGATTAGAGGAGCGGCCGATGCATGAATATGAACAGGAAGCTCTAGATAAGCTATGGCCACGAACATACGTTGCAAAAGAGGAATATAAGGATAGGATGCTAGGCTTTGCCCCTGAAGACATGCCGGTCACAGTGCAGGAACACTTGTGCAACCATGCCATGTGGGGACAGTACATGTTGCAATTTCCTAAGGAGGAACGTGTCAAGGCGTTGAAGGAATGGATTACAACAGGGAGAGATGCATGGGAATACAATGCCTACTATGCGGAGGCACAGAGACCCATGAAGGATCGTGTTCAAGATTGGAAAAGGATGAGGGCTCAGCTGTATAGTGATGAAGGCGTCGAGACAAGAGACCTCACGAGCTATGAGGGAGATCACCACTTCTACCTCGATCGGCTTCCTACCATCAAGTGGCAAGCAGAAGACCAAGTAGGTGAATGAAGTAGGTGGCTGTGACCTGGAAAGAACACAATTGATCATCGCAGCTTGCGATCATCGTAATGTGATAAGCTACTCGTTAGATGCCGTGGCTTAACCAAGTGGCACGATAGCATAGAAGGACAGCCATTGAAGCAAAAAAAGGAGAAGCAGTGCATGCACGCTTCAAGTTGAAGCCAGGTTTGCCGCATTTGGTCGGTGGATGGACGCTTTCACAGTCGAAGCGCCTCAACTGCATTTGAAAGCTTAGATCTGAGCTGAGCCCTCGTTTTTAGTACAAATAGCAGCTTGTTGCATCAGTGATCGCGGGAGGCGGAGGCCAAGGCTTTCCTGAGGAGGAACATGCGGAGCCAGATGAGCTTCGTGATATCATCAAATGTGGTTTGGTCAGAGGTTCGAGCGCTCGGCTTCAGACAACTTCATATGACAACACAGCCAATGAAAATACCATGTGAAAATGCATGAGATCCGTGATTTCGTTCTTATATGTTGTCCGTTTGCTCCAACCATCGTTCCAACCACTGTTCTCTTAGGGCATGATACTCAGAGTCTTTTTACTGTTCGTGATGACTTTCAGCACTCCGAGTTGCATTGCTGGAGCATTCAGCACTGGTCCAACAGTGTGTGCTGGAGCCTCCAGCAACGCAGGTGCGTCAAGACGCAGCAACGGCAGGTTGATGAATTCGAAAGAGTCATTCTGCTTGATAACATGCTTGTTTCGTCTTCTCGCTGTCCAGAGCTATACTGGTCGTGTAGGATTGGCGCCGAGCAGCACTAGCTGTCCCCGTAGTGCTTCAGCGTTCATTTACCAACACGCTGTGCTCTGTTCGTCGCAACATACATGGTGTGTCTGCGAAAACTCCAATTCTAGGAGAAGGGAGAGTAGATTGCCATTCTTCTACGACCTGAGTAAGAGGTGTGTGTGTGCGTGTGAGAGAGAGAGAGAGAGAGAGAGAGAGAGAGAGAGAGAGAGACGACGCCAACTGATTCTGTAATGGTGGAGACAGATACTGGCCAGAGATGGCAGCACATGTTCATCACTTGAGTCATAAGGTCAAAAAAAAACTAGCGCTGACCCAGCTACAATCCTTGTGCCCCCCCCCCCTTCACCTCTGCAACACTGAGCTTGGCACCCTTACTCCTGGCACCCACACTGGCTAGTCCAAGTCAGAATTGCTCATTCTCTATGGTCAGCACACAGAAAATGGCAAAAAAAATCTATTTGACCACTAGCAACAGCTGGTTTCGATCCAGCGCCCTCCGGGTACCCTTTGACCTTTTCGAGACTTGCCGAGCTAAGAAGTGGCTCGGCTGAGTTTCCGAAATAGGTATGAGCCCGGCGCGCTTCCGCTGCGCCATGTTGCTTGGAAATGTGCACATCTGGTGTTCTGTGTGCTATTTTGAAGAAAAATGGTGGAAAAGTGGCTTATATCTGTTGTGTCGGGCCGGGTTCAGGTTCCAGGCCGATGCCGAGGCTATTCCCGATTGGGAATAGCCAATAATCTCGGGCTATATTAAGCCGAACTTGTCCCGGAACTCTGACCCAATTCTTTCATCTTTTCTGCCTCGCAATCATGTGTGCCGACTTGATTTCAAACATCCTTGCTGCTTGAGTGAAGGTTTGATGTCTCAGTGTCGGAACATGAACTGTCCTTCATGATCTGTCATTCGAGGTCGTGAGTACACACAAGTTGGCTGCATCCGCGGGTTGTTCTCGAAGAGGACAACATGAGCACTTGCTGACTTTCGCAGTCCGAATTTAGGGATTCACAAGACGTGCAGTCCGTGGTGCTTCGTGAATACGAAGAGCTCCTGCTCTGTTTGCTCGATTACCTACATGGTGTTACAAGTTACGAGTCTCTGTAGCTCGTAATGTGCACGGCAACATGAGACCTGGTGGCTGTATCACAGCATAGCCAACCTCCACATCCATTCGTAAGCATGACAAATGTACGCTACTGCTACTACTGGAGCGTCCAGATGGCAGTATTTCTGTCCATACAACCCCACTTCTCATGAATACATCCTATAACCTCGTGGCCGCACGACGGCCGCATGCTAGAGAGGCATAAAAAGTCAGGCGAAGCAAGAGCAAGTACGGGCTTGGCACAAGTCAGGGAAGCTCCCAAATCAGAATTTACATACAACGAGGCAACAGTTGAAGAGGATGGGCAGATGCTCTGCCCTGACGCCCTGACAGGAATTGTCAAATGCAGACATACTTTGGAGGCGAATCAATACGAGTCTCCTGTGTTCACTCCATAGTCTATACATGAACTGAACCCTATCAAGGCTTCCCGTATACTATCGCTAGTTGTACAGAGCGTGTCTTACAATAAGTACCTTCCAAAAGGTATTTATAATCTATATTGTTTTATTTTTTATTTTTCATTATTAAAAATGTGGTACTATAAAGCTATAACTTTATAGTACTATGTCGAATTAGTGATCTGTTTTCTTATTCAATTTTTTATTCTTCGTTCTTATATTATAGTTTTTCCTTAAGCTTCGTAAGTATTCGTAAGGATTTATAGGTATTCGTATCGATTCGTAAAAGCGCTTTTTAGAAAATAAACAAGTTAATATTTAAGAAAAAATATTATTTTCGTTACCCTTCGTAAATGTTCGTAAAAGTTCGTAACTTATATTTAAAAAAATTTTCGTAATCTCTCGTAGCCGTTCGTAACTATTCGTAAATACTCGTAAAAAGCTTTTAGTCTATTTAATTACTTCGTTTACGCTGTTATCTTAGTTATTTATAATAATATTAAGAATAGTAATCCTAAAAGGGGCTAGTTCATCCTAGGGTGGACTAGTAGAGCTACTAGTGGAGCTAGTTAGTCTAGTAGCTTCCGACTACCTAACTAATCTCTCTATTTTGTACCCCTTATAGGGGCCAACCATTCTTTATCCCTATTATAGGTATATATATATGTATATATAGGGACTCTTAGCGCGTATATAGAATAATAATAAGTTATTTACTTACTATCTACCTACTATCGTGGGAATAACTACGTATTATAATATAGCGCGGAAATATACGTAATTTAATATAGGAAAGGTTAGTCGAGTAGAACCCGTAGCCTCTCGCTATCGTTCATTAGGAATATAACGGTACGTATATAGGTAAGAAAGGTAGAATAATTAGAATAGCGACTTTACGGCCTATATACTATATGATCCTCTTCCTCTTTACGCGATCGTAAAATATGCACCCTTTACTACTATTACACTACCGCTACCTTCTAGTCTTAATAAATAATAATATAGACTAGATCTTAGAATAGAATATAAATAAATAAAATATTCCTAATTAGAAATTCTTAAAAATAACTAAGATTCGAGCTAATTATATAAGAAATAAATTATATTTATAAAAAAATCTATCTAAATAAGTAGCGCTCTAAAATTTATTAATCCTAGTAAAACGTAGAGTATAATTTATTCTTTAAGCTTAACGACTCTAAAGTAGCTATTTATCAGGATCAGCGTAGCATTAGGCCGGGAGATCGAAGCCTATTAAATCTAAGTATTATTATACCTATCCTATGGATAACGATACAACGCTTAAGGAAAGAGAAGGTAAGACGGATCTCTTATACGATTCGTATGAGAGGTTCGTTAGTCTAGCTCTTAGCAATTCCCGAAATGGTAAGGCCGATTCTCCATACGATTCGTATGGGGAATCGGTCGGTGTGTTCCTAGACCTATTTATTCCTGAGATTCGTGACAGTAGCTTCGATATCACGATCTTCTTAAAAGTATAGGGCTTAGAGTCGGACGGAACTAGGTTTATACTTATTATAGTATAAAGTACAGTAGATGTAACACTAGAAGAACTAGGAAGGTTATATTATAACCTATACTAAAGTAGATAAGACGTTGCTAGGTCCAGGACAGAACTATAATAGTAACTATAAGTAAAGATAAAGGTGTTAAGATAGGAAGGTAGCGGTAGGCAGATAGTAAGTGAATGACTTGTTATTATTCTATATACGCGCCAATAGTCCCTATTTATATATGCACCTATAACAGGGATAAAGAATGGCTAGCCCCTATAAGGGGTACGAAATAGAGAGGTTGGTTAGGTGGCAGGAAAGCACTAGACCAACTGGATCCACTAGTGGACCAACTGGTCCACCCTGGGTTGAACTAG